AGGTGGATGTTGCTGGTGGAATAGGCCATTTTTCTTCCTCTGATGCAGGCATGTGGTATACAGCAAAGAGAACTGGGCCACAGGAATGATAAATGCCAATGAAAGGGAGCAAGGCGACACTCACAAACATGTTTACTCATAGTTCCAGATGTCGATGCAAGACAGACTTAACATGGCAGGGAAATCACAGAAGAAATGATTAATGACCCTAGATCAGCAATAGGAGATATAGATTGCATATGCACTGTGGCCACAGAAGTTGATAGACCCCATTTTCCAAGGTTCTGTAATCATCAGGGAACACTCATTTTTTTCTCATGTGAATACGGTAATGAGGAGGAAAGCAGATGATCACATAAAGGTGCTTCTGCACCTGCCAAAGTCAAAAAGAAGAAAATCTGGCTTCCCGATCCAATGAAGGACATTGACTTGTTTCCAAACAGGGCAGTCGAAGCCATCTGGTAGAAAAAGGTAGTGATAGAATTCTGGTCTGAGAAGGAGAGTAGGAAATACTTGGACTTATGGGTATTTTTGTCCATTAGCATGATGAGGATTATGGACATGTTGCCAATAAGAGCCAAAAGAAAAACGAGAAAGATGATAATAAACAGGAACAAATCAACTCTTGAGGGTTGTAACAACCTTAACAAGGTGGACTCAGTTTATGTTTGGTTATAATTTTCCATCAGACATTCTTATTTTGTTTTCTAAAAATAGAATAGATAAGTATGTAAATCAAGGTTTTTAATTTTGTGGCTTATTCATACTGTGAACTATTCATGATATTTATTTCTCTTAAATAAAACACTAAACTAAGCAACTTTGAAAAGATACCCAATTTCTTACCTTCAGTTCAAATTTGAGAAGGAAAATATTTGTGACCAAAATAGGTCATAAGACATACAAAAATTTAAAAAATACATATTTATATAATAATTTTGTAGTATATGGATGCTTTATTTTCCCACATAAAATTAGAGATCATCAATGTCAAATCTTATGTTTGTTGTTGTTATGTTTGCCATTGAGTCAGATCCAACACATAGCAATCCCTCCTTGGGTTTCTGAGACAGTATCACTGCAGAAGTAAATTGCCCAACTTTCCTTCCAAGGAGTGGCTGGCGGATTCGAAGCACCAGCCTTCTGGTTAGCAATCAAATGACTTAGGCACTATGCCACCACAGCTCCTGTCAAATCTTATACTCAAGTCAAATACTCAAAATTGAATATAGACTCATATGCAAGTTTTTATGATCTTTAGAGTACTGTGTATCTCTACTATATTTATGTTCTCACATTTGCTGCAGTACTTTATCAGCTCATGTTGAGGAGCTGTATTTCACTATATATTTATTTATTTATTTTGAGTTCACTTTGCCCAGTAATACCAAATGAAAATTCCTTGAAATCAGATACCATTATTTGGATCTTCAGTTTAGAAATCTACAATAAATTCTCTTAGCCAAGCACCATTTAAACAAAATATCATTAATTATTTTTATTTTTATATTTAATTCTTCCATTGTAAATAAATATTCTCCTGTCCTCTCACCCACTTACCAAATTCCCCATTGAAGGAGACTCTCTATTAAGCCATCTTTATACCATGGTCATTGGAACTGCAATGATTATGCTCAAGCTATCCACAAAGAGTAAATGCATTCTGTCACTGTGCTTCCCTGATGCTTAGTTAACATATTATGTTGCACAGTGGCAACTTTTTTTATTCATTACTTGTTTCCTAAGTGTTTTCTTGTATTTACAACCTAAGTTATTATGATTAAGTAATAGATGTGCTATAAAGATAAACAGAAAATATATAGAGAGACATATTATGAATCAGATCAGGAGATGAATCAATGAAAGATAAAATATTTCAGGGCCTTTGGAAGAAGGAATATTGATAAAGGACTTATTTCTCACTCAAATGTAGCAAACAATAGTATCTTGAAATATTTCTAGGTGGGTGTGGATGGGAGAATTGTCAAGAATGAAAATCACACATTGATAATCTCTGCATACTACGTACAAAAATATGTTGTAGTGTTTAGGTCTGAAGTATTATTTTAAAGAATAATTCACCACATCAGTGAGAAAGCTTCCAAAATGAAAGATGGAAATCCACAACATGTGCACAGACACAGAATTATGTACAGTGAGTTAAAAATGCTTGATATGACATACAGGAATAGATTAAAAAATTCTGTATAGAATTAATGTTTTATATCAAATCTTCAAAAAGAATGATAAATTATAAATTAAATAATACAAAATAATGTGTGTGTAAAAGGAAGTGACAGGTAACAAGAATCATTTCTTGAGGGTTAAAAATATAATAATATATATAAATGATTCCATTACAATTTTGTAAGTTACTAAGTAGAAAATCTTGTACAGAATAAGAAGACAAACACCAATAACATAAGAGGATTGATGTTTAGAAAATAATAAGACAATTAGATATTTAGTATAAGAGAAACCTACATATGCTTATGGACATTCCTAGAAATGTATATAAGAAAATAATTATGGAGTTAATATTATCCAAGGAAAAGATTTTCTCATAATTTAAATACATGAGCCACAATTCAAAAACAGCATGCAAAATACATAGAAAAAGATATGAAAAATATTCATTGCAAATTATTTTCCTGAAAATTCTAAATATCTCCTGGAAAATACTTTCTTGCAGACACTCAGTATTACCTATAAAGAGAAGATTCTGAAAGTTGCTTGAGAGAAGCAATAGTAATGAAATAAATATATACAGAAATGACAATTAAAATATTGGCATGTTCCAATAATGTTGAATTTTGAAATATAAAAAAATGCATTCTAGAAGCTGGAACAATGCAATCAACCCTTCCTTCCAAGACACAAAGTGAGATCTAACTATATGGGGAGAATGGAGGAAAGAGAAGTATGGGCAGATGATGTCATAAGAGTGCTTCTTCATACACAAAGACCCGAGGCCTGAGACAATAATTGTGACATAGGAGTCAAGCTTTAGAAGATCCACATATAGTTTGAAAATACAGAGGTAAATATAGAAGAAAGAAAGTAAAATAATTTGAAATTATTTTCTCTAGAGATAGTTTCAGAAAGTCCCTCATGAAAATGGTCTCTCTTTGATTCTAATTTTAATCTTTGTCTCAATATGCCCTAAGAATTCTATGCAAACTAATCAGAGAGAAGACACAGATGTATATACTGTTTTGATCTCCTATGCTTATTTCCCCAAGGACTGTGTGTAAAACTGACTTCTTTTATAAACCTATATCTCACTCATAAAATGCCATGGAAGAGATAACTGAAAGCCTTGTTTGGTTAGCAAAAAATCTATAGGACATTTGATTTTTTTTGTCTCTGAGCAGTTTGATGTTTTAACAAAAGTTCTGATATATAATCTGCAAAAATATAGATATCAGATAGACATTAGATAGATGATGATAGATGCAGATAGACATACATAGATAGATAGCTAGATAGCTAGATAGGTAGATCGATAGATCTATAGATAGATAGACAGACAGATGACAGATAGGTGGATGATAGATAGCTTCCCTAACATCACTTCCATCTCATAATGGCCTTTTGTACAACAGAAACCAATCTTTAAATTAGTTATTACGGTCTAAAACTCTAAATCTTTCTTGGAATTACTATAGACATCGGGGTTAATATAATTTCTTCTTATATATATAAATTATATGTGAGTATATACACACACATATACATGTATATATACATGTGTGTGTGTGTGTGTGTGTGTGTGTATATATATATATATATATATATATATATATATATATATATATACTGGAAATAATGCTGTAACCTCTATAGGCACATACCAAGCAGGTATATCAATTTAAAAAGAAGTTGATTCGCCACTCCTAGTGCTCACCCCCAATATCTCAAAAAACAAAAAAAATATGTGTAATGATTGGAAAATAAGACTATGCATTACATAAATTGTCCTCTTTAAGAGTATCAGTGGCTAATTAGGATACAAAATTTGAGTTTTTGCTGAGGCTCACTTTGGAAGTATAAATTCCATTAATCCTCTTATAAAGTTGTCTCTCCACCTATAGTTATGTATAGTTAACATATCATCTATTCCATATAGGAAATATAACATTATTTCCCTGAAATTGGGTACAAATAGAAACAGTGCCATCTATAAAGAGTAAATTAAGGTAAAAAAAATATTTAGATTGCTGTTGTTGTTATATGCCATTGAGTAGTACCCGACTCATAGTGACCCCTCCTTGGGTTGGTGAGGCAGTATCACTACAGAAGTAGATTGCCCCATCTTCCTTCCAAGGAGTGGTTGGTGGGTTTGAACAGTCAGGCTTCTGGTTAGCAGTCAAGTGCCTTAGGCACTAAGCTACGAGAGCTCCTTTATTTAGATTAGACCCACTAAAACATTTATTTTTCTTTGTTTTATTTTAGTTTATTGAGAGATAAATTAAGTGCATTAGAACTGTATGATGAATAGCTCATGTTAAGTAGTTTCAATTTTCATTTCTACATATTAATAAAATCTATTTCTGAAATTTAATGGACTATATATGTATATTATATTGTAGGAAAAAGAAAAATCACCTTAGTAAAAAAAAAAAAATTCTGACTTAGTAACATATAATTATTTTGTCAAAATTCAACTTTTTAAAATCCCCTAATAAACCTTCATAACTTACTTTTATGTCTTGAATAACATTCTTAATAATGAATATTCATTGGTGAAGGAGCTCTGGTAGCATAGTGCCTTAGGCACTTGACTGCTAACCAAAAGGCTGGTGGTTCGAACCCACCAGCCATGTTTTGGAAGGAAGGCTGGACAATCTACCTCTGTAGTGATACTGCCTTGGAAACCCAGGGAGGGGTTGCTATGAGTCAGGGATGACTTGATGGCACATAACAACAACAACAACAACAACAATTCATTGGTGAATAAAAAGACACCTGTATCTTGAAGACTAATGAAGAAACCTTGTCTACACTTTCACAGAGCACATTCTCTGAGTAACCCTTCTTAGGGCCCCCATAACCTCCTTGTTCCTCAGGCTGTAGATGATAGGATTGAGCATGGGGGTTAGAACAGTGTAGAAAACAGCCAGAACCTTGTCTTCTGTTGGAGAACGGAAAGATCTTGGGCGTAGATAAGTGTAAATAAACGGGGCATAGTAGAAAGTTACCACTGTGAGGTGGGTACTGCAGGTAGAATAGGCCTTCTTTCTCCCTTCTGATGCAGGCATGCAGTATACAGCAAACAGAACTCGTGCATAAGAACAAGTAATGCTAATGAAAGGAAATACAAGAAAGAAGGTAGTGCTAACAAACACTGTGTATTCATAGACCCTTGTGTCCGTGCATACCAGAATTAACATGGCAGGGATGTCACAGAAGAAATGATTGATGGCCCTAGATCTGCAATATGGTACATGGAGTGCATAGGCAGTGTGGGCACAGGAGTTGATAGACCCCATTATCCAAGATGCTGTAATCATCAGAACACACTTTCTTTTGTTCATATGAATATGATAATGAAGAGGAAAACAAATGGCCACATAACGGTCATAGGCCATAGATGCCAAGAGAAGTCCTTCTGAACCTGCCAAAGTCAAAAAGAAGAAACTCTGGATGCCACATCCAATGAAAGAGATTGACTTGTTTCCAAGCAGAAAATTGTAAGCCATCTTAGGGACAATAGTGGAAATATAAGTTAGGTCCATGAGTGAGAGCTGACTAAGTAGGATATACATGGGAGTGTGAAGATGTTTATCCAGCAGGATGAGGAGGATCATGGACAGGTTGCCAATCAGAGCTGACAGGAAAATGAGAATTATGATAATGAACAATGCCATACTGATTCTTGATGGTGGTAGTAATCCCAGTAAGGTAAAATCAGTTGATGTTTGGTTATAATTTTCCATCAGATATTCATGTGATTTTCTAAAAATAGATTGGTAAATAAAGTAAGTATACCAAGCTTTTTTTTTCATTAAATCCTTAGTTTACTCAAACTGTGAATCATCCATGAAATTAATATCCCTTAACTGAAAGACTAAACTTATATACTCAAATAAGAAAACTCATTTTCTGACCTCCTATTCTAATTTTCAGAGGCAAATATTTATAACCAAAATATAAGAAATAGATGCAGTTTTTTTTTTTAATATACAGTAATCTAGTAGGATATAGATATTTTATTGTATCATATAAAATTAGAGATCATTACATTGACATCTAGGAGCTCTGGTAGCATAGTGCGTAAGGCACTTGACTGCTAACCAGAAGGCTGGCAGTTCAAACCCACCAGCCACTCCTTGGAAGGAAGGTTGGGCAATCTACTTCCACAGTGATACTGCCTCGCCATCCCAAGGAGGGGTCACTATGAGTCAGGTCCAACTCGATGGCACACAACAACAACAATGACAACATTGAGATCTAATACTCAAATCATATATATTGAAAATCAAGTGCAGACTCATAAATAAATTGTCCTGAGCTTGAGGGGATGACGTTTTCTTCTAAATTTATATTCTTAATTGTTTATATATGAACACACTTTCTGGAACCTGGAACACTGCTATCAAACCTTTCTCCTAAGACACAAAGTGGGATGTAGTTATTTTGGGTGAATGGAGGATAGGTAAGGAGTGTGGAAGGGTCATGTGGGAAGGGAGCCTCCACATACAGAACAACCAGAGGCATGAGCCAGTGTTTGGGAGATAGCCATAACACTTTAGAAAATGAACATATCATTTGAAAATACAGGGATAACTAGAGGAAAGAGAATAAAATAGTTTGAAGTTATTTCCTCTAGGCATGAAGACAAGTGAATTATTGGGCCAATGTTCAACTTTCTCAGCTAATGACACCATGTTCATTCATTCCTTGAATAAAACATACAATAATTTACAAATTATTTTGCTAATAACAATTTGCATGTACTTCATGTATTGTATATTTATATCTACAATAAAATTGTAAGAAAATTTAACAGCAGGGTACAGATCTTGAATGGAGAAAATGTTTCCTTGATGAGTTATTATAACTTCTGAAATAAATATTAATAAAAAAGATATTTTTATAAATATAATTTATGTTTAACAAGTGACCCCTGTATTAGATTTACATTATGCATTATAATTATATTAGTTATTTATTGACAACACTGATAATGAATTATTTGAAATTATCAGTGAAATCCTATCACAATGAGTCCTTTCATTTATACAGTCCATCCTGGTCTGTGCCTGACAGAGCCTGGTGCCATGCCCCATTCCCCACACTTTTGTTTTTGATTGCTTGTTTTAAAATTATTCTTTTTTATCTTCCCCATTTCTTTCTTTCTTCTTTTTTTTTTCACAAGTTTTTCTCTTTCCCATCAATGGCTTTTTTTTTTTTTTTTTTTCTTTATTCCCCTTCCCTTGCCCTGGTTCCCTTTTTTCTTTCTTTCTTTTGGTTCTTCTCACCCTGTTTTCCTTTTTCACTTTTCCCAATTTTTCTTTAATATTCTTTTATTCTTGCTCTCATTCCTCCTTCCCCAGATATTGTGGATTTTTTCTCTTTATCTTTCTTTTATCCTTTTTTAGTATATATTGAACATTTTTCCTCTCATCTATTGGATTTCTCTTTTTTTGCCATGGGAGGGGGACTTTTCCTGTTAAGCAGTTTGAGTGTTTTATTATTTTTTTAAATTATTTAATATTTATTTATTTATTGGTGTAACTGAATGAAAGACAGCAACTGTTGCAACATAACCCAACCATACCTCCACCTCTTGAAGTACCCCCAAAGAGTGTGGGCCACCACTTGCATTGCACCAACTGACAAATGCTGGGTAGTGGCCAATACCAGCTCAACTCACTTTCAACTGCTTCTTATGAACAGTTAACAGAGATCTGTACACACAATCTCATTCTCTGTAGAACCCCCCAAAAAACAGGTGGTAAGTACATAAGTGCTAACAACTAGTCAATAGAGGAGGGTAGTGCCCTGCTTACATAGGTATATCAAAACAAAATAAAGGAAGAAAAAATAAATTTGGGGCAAGTCACATTAACATAAAAACAAAAATTAAACATAAAAGCAACAATACCACAATGTCTTGGAGACAACAGACAATCAAAGTCCACATAAAAATAAGCAAGATAATGTAGTAGAAACAAGGGATCAGGATACAAACCCAGAAAACATCCCTGAGAAAGAAGCAGCATTGAAACTCTCTGAGAAGGAATCCAAAATACCTAAATTAGGATACATTCAACAGATTGAGAGAGAGATTAATGAAAATACTGACCAGATCAAGGAAAACACAGACAAAATTGAGGAAAACACAGATCAAAAACTAGAACAATTTAGGGAAATAATGCAAGAACAAATCTACAAAATAAACAAAAAATAAGAAATGATACAAAAACAACAAATAGGAATCCAGAAGATGAATACTAATATTTCACAAGTAGATAATACATTGAATGGGCAAAGGAGTAGAACTGAATCAATGGAGGATGGAATTAATGAAATTGAAGACAAATACCTCCATACAACTTTGTTGAGAGATTGATCATAAAAAAGATCAAACACAATGTAGAAAGCCTAAGGTTCATGTGGGATACCATTAAGAGGAATAAACTAAGTATAATCTGAATTCCAGAGCAAGAAGAGACATACAACCACAGATTTATCCAAGATTTGTTGAAAGAGAATTTCCCTAATATTATGAAAGATGAGAATATGTCCATTCAGGATTTCAATGAACCCCTAACTGGATAGACCCCAAAAGAAAATCACCAACACTTGTCTTCATCAAACTTACCAAAACCAAAGACAAAGAATCTGAGAGTAGTACAGGAAAAATCAAAAGTAACTTTTAAAGGGCAACCAGTAAGACTGAGCTCTTATTTCTCTACAGAATCAAGGCAGGTAAGAAGGCAATTGGAAGATATATATAAAATCCTGAAAGAAAAAATAAAAATTACTACCAAGAATTATATACCCAGTGAAACTTTCCCTTGAATATGAGGATGAAATTAAGAGATATCTAGTGTGTTGGTTACCTACTGCTTCTCTAACAGAAGATACTGCAGGTGGAATTGCTTTAACAAACAGGAGTTTATTCTCCTACATTTTTGAGGCTAGAAGTTCATGTTAAAAATATTGGGCTCTAGGGGCTGGGTGAAACCTCTTAATCCTGGGGTTCAGCTCTGCCTCTTGTCCTGGTCCACTGAAGCTAGAGGCTTTTCTTCACTCTGGCAGCTGCTGGCCACTGAGGCTAACAAACCCAAGGTCGACAAGTAGAAAGGCTTAATCTCGATATCACCAAAAAACACAGCAGGCCACTAATTCAAGTCCAGAAAAGTTGCAGTATTGACAGGGCATGGCAGGCTGCTGAACAAAGACTTGGCTATATGCAGGATTCAAGCATGCCAAAAAAGCTAGAGACCATTCCCAAAGCTGCTTCTTATAAACAAGAAGCAGACCACATCTCTAAAGTTGCTACTCAGCTGCTCCAATAGATTCCACCATGGAGTTAATTACCAGTCTCACCATGGGGAATAACTACATCCAGCTTCCCAGCCATTCAACTAGGCCTAGCGAAGTTGACACATAAACTTAACTACCACAATTCCAACCCTTGTCAACTTGGCACCTGTATAGACCTTCAATAGGTGGCAACTGTACAGATCTCCTTCACTGGGTGGCTCTAGTCCCCTAGTTCCTCTTAGTGGTGACCTCATCCTCTTGGCCTGGTGGCCACTGTCCTCTACCTTTTGGGCATGGCAGCCCTGCCCCCTCACTCTTGGGCAGCGGCTATGGCTCCATCCCACTGGCCCACCTGAATGAGCAGCCCCACACTCCAGAACCAAGTTGGTGAAGTCTGACTCTCTGAAACCTAGGAAACTGTGGTGGTTCCACCCCCAAAGGCCATGGTCCTACCTTTGCGGCTGAGGCAGCTCTGCTTCCAGTTTCCTTGCTCTCTCCACTTCTGCCAATTAATGCCCAAGGGCAACCCACTCCAACAAAATAAAACTTTCAGGAAAACTCCACCAGGAATCTTTCTGCCCAGAGGGCACTTAACTTTCTTGCTTCGTGTGCTGGCTAACCTGCTGCTTCATCTTATGCGGGTCTCTTTTACCAATTAATGCCTGAAGTCAACCCATTTCTCCTGGAAGCCACCTACCCAATGGCATCCAGCTTTCTCCTCCTTGGGCTGGTAAACTGTCACCATCTCATGCCAGTCTCTCAACTCTGCCCTCTCTCATGCTGGTCTCTCAGCTCTGCTATTGCTGTCTGTGATGTGATCTCTTGGCTCTGCTGTTGCTGTCTCTCATGCTGCATACCAGCGTATCTCTGCCAGGGTCTCAAGTCAAAGACACACTCCACTCTTTTTTCCAAATTTTAGGTGTTTGTCAGAGCAGCACCTCACTCTCCCAGTACCGTATTCTATTTTGGTTACCTAGTGGTGCTCTAACAGAAGATACCACAGGTAAAACTGCTTTAACAAACTGGAATTTATTCTCTAACATTTTTAGAGGCTAGAAGTCCAAGTTCAAAGTATTGGGCTCTACGGGTTGGGTGAAAGCCCCTTGACGTTGGGCCTCAGCTCTGCCTCTTGCTCCTGGCCCACTGAAGCTAGAGGCTTTTCGTCACCCAGGAAGCTGCTGGCTGCTGAGGCTGACAAACTCAAGGTTAACAAGGGAAAAAGCACAGTTCTGATATCACCAAACAACATGGCAGGCCACTAATTCAAGTCCAGAAAAAATTCCAAGACTGACAGGGCATGGGAAGCTGCTGAACAACGACTTGGCTACATGCAAGATTCATGCATACCAAAAAGCTAGAGATCATTTCTAAGGCTACTTCTTATATATTGGAACCAGGCCACATCCTTAAGGCTGCTGCTCAGCTGCTCCAATAGTTTCAA